CTGTAAATTGTGCATTTGTATCAATCTCTGCTTGCTGAGGTGAATCTTGCTTGCCAAGATAAATCTGATATTCTTTGCCCTGTGTTGTCTTGTGAACCTAACATTATTTGATAATGTGTGAAAAATGAAGTTTTAGAGGATAAAAAAGGTAATGTATTGAATGTAGATTTTTGAACTGCTAATTGAGTTAAAGCTTCTCCTCCAGCGAGCTTGTGTGTTTTCTGTGTTACAGGTTTGATGTAGGTCCAATCATTAAGCAAGAAGAGTTTGTTGTTCCTCCCTGCTGTACTGCAAAGGAGCTGGAAGTGGCGTTAGCAAAGATGGGTGCAAACATGGTAAAGTCGTGCAAGATCGTGTCGCTTCTGATCAGTACCTTGGCTTTTTGTATGAGGAAACAGAGTTCTTTTTAATCTTGTTCTGAGTTGTCTGGAACTGTTAAGAGGAGAGTGATCTGAAGCTTAGTGTTTGGGAGCCCTTTCCCTTGCTGAGAGGGGAAACTGGGTGGTATGTGATGAGCTGGCAGTGTGTTGCTGTTCTTTTTCTATTCAGTGAAGAACTCAAACACTTTCTATGAAAACAGCACAGTTTCTTCTTTCATTTAAGTGAATATCTGCTTTTTCATATTAACCATCAGCTTTTGTAATGTTCTAGGATTAATATGAGGGAGCAGATCATCCATAAACGAATACTTCTTTTTAAAATTGTGATTTAGTGGACAGGATGCCTTCAGTGTGTTTGTGTGTATGATACAAGTCTTTTGAATATACTGACCCAATTTTCTAAAAGCTCACAAAGTTACACTGATGAAAAATTAACTACTGTATTTGTATGTCTTGGATTTGCTGTTATAAATGTACTCTACTTAGCTTTGCTAATATTCTGTATAAAATTTAACTTTACAGCTGATATCAGTTTTGAAAAACTTGCCCGAAAGTTTAAAAAATAAAAAAGAGCAACCAAAAGAAGGAGTAACATTTGGTAGGTACACATCGTATTTCATACAACTTGTTCCTTTTTTCTTTTATCAGCTGGAAAACTAAGTTTCTTCTTACTGTGCTAGATTATATCTACTTTGATGTCTTTCTCAATGTGGTCTTTTCTGCCTTAAAAAAAAAAAAATCATACAGAAGGAAAAATGTTCAGTACTATTCTCCTTACTACATTAATTTTTTTTTCCATTTGCTCATACAATATCAAAATCACTAGTGATGTCACAAAATCTGAGTTTGTTATTCTTAATGGTTGTAACACAGACAAAAGTCTTACAACTGTGCATGTAACCATACGTTATCAGTTTACAGTGGGTAAATAAGAGGACAACTGAGAATAAATAATCCAAACTGAGGTTTTTACAAAATCTTTTCTCAACTGTGCTTATAACTATATGTTATCAGTTTGCAATGGGTAAATAAGAGGACAACTGAGAATAAATAATCCAAACTGAGGCTTTTACAAAATCTTTTCTCCAGTTGTTGTCTAAGGAACCTATGGCTAGATGGTTCTAGCCAACTGCCATTGGTTAGGATAAAATCAGGTTTAAAATAGGATAAAGTAGTGCAGCTGTTTGCTTGCAAAAAGATGCAAAACAAAATATGAACTTGTCTCGTTTATTTTTGTCCCCCTAGCTCCTAAAATATCTATAGCTAAGAGTTGTATAAAATGGGAAGAGCAAACGGCGGCACAAATAATTCAACTGCATCGAGCAATAGGAAGTATGGTAAGGCAGTGGATTTTTGTTTTAACCCTTTTCTGTCCTCTAGCATTGCCTGAGTTTGGTGTAGACATTTCGACTGATGACTGAAACTCAAGTTTAGTTTTCTAGCAAAAAATAAAAAAGAGCAACCAAAAGAAGGAGTAACATTTGGTAGGTACACATCATATTTCATGCAACTTGTTCCTTTTTTCTTTTATCAGCTGGAAAACTAAGTTTCTTCTTACTGTGCTAGATTATATATACTTTGATGTCTTTCTCAATGTGGTCTTTTCTGCCTTAAAAAAAAAAAAATCATACAGAAGGAAAAATGTTCAGTACTATTCTCCTTACTACATTAATTTTTTTTTCCATTTGCTCATACAATATCAAAATCACTAGTGATGTCACAAAATCTGAGTTTGTTATTCTTAATGGTTGTAACACAGACAAAAGTCTTACAACTGTGCATGTAACCATACGTTATCAGTTTACAGTGGGTAAATAAGAGGACAACTGAGAATAAATAATCCAAACTGAGGTTTTTACAAAATCTTTTCTCCAGTTGTTGTCTAAGGAACCTATGGCTAGGTGGTAAAACTGCCATTGGTTAGGATAAAATCGGGTTTAAAATAGGATAAAGTAATGCAGCTATTTGCTTGCAAAAAGATGCAAAACAAAATATGAACTTGTCTTGTTTATTTTTGTCCCCCTAGCTCCTAAAATATCTATAGCTAAGAGTTGTATAAAATGGGAAGAGCAAACGGCGGCACAAATAATTCAACTGCATCGAGCAATAGGAAGTATGGTAAGGCAGTGGATTTTTGTTTTAACCCTTTTCTGTCCTCTAGCATTGCCTGAGTTTGGTGTAGACATTTCGACTGATGACTGAAACTCAAGTTTAGTTTTCTAGCCTCTAAAATCCAGGAAGCATTTTAAAATCCTGACATAGTTTAGCATTAGTGGAATTAGTGTGGAGGAGAATTTTCATGAACTCCATCCCAGGTGTGAAATCAGCTTAGTAGTTTTGTATCATTTCCTTAACTCTGAGATTTCCACTGGTGCATTTGAGAAGGTCTCAGAACTCTGTAATGACCTCTTTGCATGACAGTAAACAGTGCAAACAGCTACAGGAAGGAGCAGTTGTAGCTAGTTCCTTAGCTCATTACTGCTAATGGTTTGCTTGTCAATGAGATGAGGAAGAACAAGGGAAACCTGATACAGTACAGAAGGTCTCTTCTCTGTACATGTACCTAAACTTTCCCCTAATGTTGTTATCACAGGTATCTGGCATAAGAAAAAAAAAAAACCTAGACAGTTGCCTGGAAATTGTGAAAAAATTCTCAATGTGTCATCTATTTCCAGTTTCCTTTACAGACTCTCTGGAAGGGTACTACTGTTAAACTTCTGGATTTTGTGGAAGTGGATACTATCCCTGGTTTTGCTGGTATTTACTTTTAAATTAATTTAAGTTAAATTTTCCTGTCTTTTCAAACACTGACTTGGGGATCATACATAATTGCACTAAACAATAGCTTTAAGTACTGCTTTCTGAAACTTGGTAGAACTAAGTCAATCTGATATGTGCTCAGAGTACACTAGATTTCTGTGCCTTAAGTTGGGCATTAAATGGGTTTTAAGGACATTCCTGCTTTGTGATGATGTTGAGTGAGCAGTAAAGTGTGGTCCTGTGAATCCTGAGATTGGAGGATTTTAATCCTGTTGTTGGGAGATCATCTTCTAATGCTGTTGTTTGGGGATCTCTCAGGAGGAAAGCTGTCCCTTTGTACTCTCACTGAAACCTTTTTCTGTGGTGGTCTGTGAGTCTGAGCACCTCGTGGGGTGAGTGCTGTGCCAGAGCACGCTGGGCTTAACCACTGGTTATGGATTTTATGGATCAGAGAGAGAGCAGTGCTAGAGAATGTTCTGATTCTCCCCTTCTCATTTGGGTATAATAAAACATGGAATACAATAAAATATATTTGAGCAGAATAGTGGCTCAAGATGGTTATCGTGCTTCAAAGACGCATGAGTGTTTCAAATGGTTTTTTTACTTGTTGGCATAAAAATGCATGAAAATCTTTCTTTGCCTTTAGATCAGATAGTAAATGACCATGGAGCTGTTCCTGGTTCCCTACTGTACCATAAAGTGTCCCAAACACTGATAGCTCGTTGCAAGGTAGGTTTTTCCCATATGTTTTATATTTGCTGCCCAAAATAGGAGCTTTTTAGTATTTGTGTGCTACATAACTTTTGTGTTAATTGTCCATTGTTAGTCACTGAACTGGTTTAGATTACCATCAGTCTTTTTATTTGATACTTTGAGCAATTTTTGATTTCCACTAACAGGCTTTTCACTTGCAAGTGAGATTTTTGACTTGTAGTGTAAACACGATGACGTTAAATAAAATGTATTCTATAAGCCAGCCTAGTGAGATAATTTTAAAAGATGGAAGCAGCTTACTGCCATTTTCTTGTTTTTATTTTTAGGAAGGCTGGGTTGGAATCAAAACAGTCGTATTAAAAAAGAAGCTTACAGCAGTTGACTTCTACAATGGATATATGCACTCTTGGTTCCAGCAGAGCTCAAGAACAGTTCATGAGGAATGCAGATTTCAAACACTCAAACTTAGCACGGCAAAAAAGACTCTGAAAGAGAGGGAGATATTGGCACAGGATATAAAACAATAGGTGTATTATTTTAAAACGTGGAAGAAGAAGTCTGTAAGTTAATAGCAATGCACAATATTTCAGTGCCCTCCTATAACATTCAATTTAGTTGAGGGCTTTCCTCCCAGATTATTTGATCTTACTGTCATCTGCATATTTTCGTCGTGGGTTCCTGATGATGCTTATTTCTCTTTCCCCGATCAAGGGAGAGAATCTCTGTGAACGCTGAAGATAGTGAATAAATCCCTGTTTCCACTGTTGAGTAATAAATTTATTTTTATACAATGTTTTCAGTTTCTTTTTGAGGACTTCTGGTATAATTTTCTTCAGGCATAAGTTGTGCACAGTTACTTTAAGCTGGAAATATTAAAATCCTGTGCTTCTCTGTAATTCAGAGCTTAGTGTTCACTGAGACTCTTGGATCATCTGGCTTGATTTTCTTGTGATCCCTTAAACTACCTTTGTATCCTCACAGTGAGATGAATAACTTAAGCCCTAGCTGGGAACATCTGGAGGATCTTTTCCTGTCTGTGATAGTTTTCTTTAAGTCAACTACATTTAACTCAGAACATCCCTTATTTCTCATGGGATTTCGATGCCGCAACTTTATATAAACATTTAACTCAGAACATCCCTTATTTCTCACGGGAGTTCGATGCCGCAGCTTTATATAATACCTGTACCTGGAGCTGTCTTGGTCATTTTGTCTGGTTGCTGGGGTTTTCTGAGCAGTCTGATGTTCCATCTCATCAACCTGTGCAATCATTGCCAGCTTCTTCATTACCCATGTCTTCCTGCTGATTCTCTTTGTGTAGTCTCCATCTACAGCTGTCTACTTCCGCTGTTCTGGAATTCACTCTCAATAAATCTTCAATTTAGAAAGGGAATAAACAGAATATGCCTGTTCTAATCTGAGATCTCCCCAGCCTGTTCTCTTAGGATGATCATGTTTTTTATTTGGGCCCATTGACTCTGAAAATACTGTAAATAGTAGGTAGTCTTTAATGTCATCCGTGAATGCCAGCTGATAGTTTTTAGTCACCTGCAGGGGATGTGAGCACATCACTTCATTTTCTTTTAAATCCAGAAAAGAAAAATTTACTGTGCACATTTGCTTTTCAATACCAGTGACTTGTTTTAATCTCATTGATTCTGTTTCTAATCTATTAACTTGTCGTTTATGTTGTTCAGTAGATACTTTTCTTTTATATCTTTAGCTTTTCTGATCAATTTTTTACCTTTCCTATTTAATCACGTTGATTGACATCTCTTCCTTTTCCTTTTTGTTTTCGTATCGTAGAATATATCCCACTTAATAGTTATGGGATATTAATTCTATATTAACTATATATCCTAGAATATATCCCATCCCCCCAGAAAATATATGCCCTACTGTCCTGCTTTCTCTTTGATTAGAGGGGTTTTTACCTGATGAGGAGTTGTTAATCAAATCAAAGCTTTTCCTTAACCTGCCTTTGGTTGATGACAAGTGTAAGATGGAGCATTTAATGTAAAAACCCCCAAACTGATGACTCTTTTACTTTCTTGCCTTGGATAACAGCAAAACAAAGGCTGGCTGCATTTTAGGAGATGCTTTAGTGTAACTTGCTCAACTTATTCCTGCTTTTTCTGAACACTACTGAAGCAAAAGCAGAACCATGGGAGCTATTCAGGCTTGGGCAGGCACTGTTCCTTTAGCCTCATATTTACAGCATTATCACTGACATTTTGGAAGCCTCAAAAGAAAAAAATAATCATAGAGTTTTGTAGACTTGGTGTTAGAATGCTTCTGTTTTCCTTCTGCTCATTAACAAATGCCAGGACGTCCTCTTCCACACGTCCTTTGGGTTCTTCAGATTTTTCAATGCATTGAAGGAACTTAAAGCTCAAGTCAGGTGTTGAATTGGTGGGACTTGTATCAAGGTGGCAGGAGCTTGGTGTGCTTAAGTGTGACTCACTACATGGAAGAAAGTTTAAAAAAAAAAAAAAAAAATTTGAAAAATGTGTTATATAATGTGGATTAAAATGTTTCTGAAGAAGCATCTGTTAAAGCAGATGCTGCAGTACGTTTCTTTAATTGCCGTTGGTCTAACAATTAATCTGCCTCTTGACGGGTTTTCCAGAACACATGGTTCTCCAAGAAATCCAAATCTGTGAATCAGAGTCCAAAGCTGGAAAAAACAACAAGGTGGAAGTCAGGCTCCCGTGGAAAATTCCTCTTGTCTTTGACCGCAGCCTCAAGGGTGCACTTTGTGCTGCAGAAATTATAAACCCGGCAAGTTTGTTCCTAAGGAAATGATGCATTTTCGTGCTTTGATCCCTTTTACCTACTGCTTGCAAGTAAAGGTGGTGAAGTCACTTTGCTTTTACTCAGTCCGGTCTATGAAAGGTCAGTTGTCCCCTTATGGAAACAGAAGGGATGGTGGGTGGGGTTTTTTTGTGGGGGTGGTGGGTGGGTTTGGGGCATTTTTGGGGTTTGTTGTATTACTGGTCCCAGTTGTGTGGCTGCTTGCCTTGTGTTTTCCCAGCTGCAGCTTCTGGGAATCCATTATTTTTACTGAACGCTCACAGACATCGTTGGAATCCAAATATTCGATGTTTGCTGAGGATAAGAACATTTTATCTGGGGCATCTTCTCTGTAGGAGGTGAGGTTTTTTGACACTAATCAGCCGTGTGGTAGGAGTCTGGCCTCAGGCATGGGTTGTGTCAGAAGTTGAATGAGTAGAAAAATGAGTATACAAAAAGGAAATAAACACCCCCAAAACCACCACCGCAACTTATAGACAATTTTAAGCACAAACTATATAGAATTTTGGACTTAGGAGAAGTATTTTAGTTATCTGTTAGCATGGGTGCACTCAGCACTTCTGATGTACCAGGTCCCCAGGCAGTGGAAAATGAATTGTGGTTCCTGAGCAAAACTAAGGGTGAGATGTGACTCCCCCAGGAACAACACCGTCAAAAGTTCAGGCAATTGAGGGTTAAAAATTTTCACATTACCAAATCCAACGATTTTTGAGGAAAATTCTTTGAAAGTTCTTTAACTCCTTTGTTTTTTGGGATCTGCTCTGGCATCATAAAGTTGATGGCAAAGCACGATGTTCCTTTTCATCTCTAAAATGAGCCGGAGCGCAGCGATGTTATTTCTGGTTGGAATATCAGCTTTCAGCCAGCGGTGTCCACCTTAGATGTTTGCATCAGAGAGAACCTGTGGGGCAATTTGCACGTCTCTTCCTGACAGTTTTAGCTTGTGCCTCGTGTGGGATCTCTTGCTGTTACTCTTTGCTGGCAGGAGGTGATTTTAGACCTAACTAAAGCATAAAGACAAGTGAAGAGGCTCCCTGCGTCCCTGGGGGGAGTTGGAGGTGGCGTGTGCTCAGAAACCCTGTAGATGGTGCTCGCTGCACCTCTTTTAGGGGAAAACCAAGGTCAGCTGGACAGAAGATGGTGAAAATCTGGTACAGAATGTCTTCAGTTAGTTGTTTAATACCAAATAATGTCTAAACCATATTGTAGGCAGGATACCTACGCTTGTAACTTAATCTTTCGATCCCTGCACAGTTTGCTTTCAGGCTTCCCAGAATTGCTTTCTATGCAAGAGGTTATCGAAGATTATACAGTTCTTCATTACTTAATAGTTCATGTCCTAGCACTGAATAGGCACAACTTCTCCCCAGCTGTTTTATGGAGGAAAAGGGGGTAAGTAATGTATTATTTTTTTTATGGTGGAAATCTTTGGCGTGCTATTTTTGACATGGTAGAGAAGCTTTAAAGGGAATTGGTGTTCCCCAGGCAGCTGTTAGCCAAAATGTCTCTTTGGAAACTTTGCTTTCACCTAGCTCTGTAGGGATTTAACTCGGAGGGTAATGAAAATGTGATTATTTTTGCAGAGCAGACAAAACAAAAATGGGGCATTCACTGATGAGGTGTGGAACAGTGTGTCAGGGCTGACTCTGGAACGCAGAGAGGTGGTGATTCAATCCCCAGTACCACTGCTGAGGTCAACTACAGCCACCCTAGCAATTGGAAGGTGATACTAGCAAAATAAAATAACCATTCCTCCTCTTGGATGAGAGAGGAAAAGTAGCAGAGGTGTTCGTAGCATCCGCTACGGCTCAGTTTAAGATCACTGAAGCCAAATTTACTGGTAGAACTGCGAAACATTTGGGCACCAGAAGGGCTCTAGTGTTGGACAGGGATGATTTCATCTTGGATTTCAAATAAATGTTAGAGGGAGTGATATTTCCTAGGATGCTGGTGACTTGCAGTTAGATGCATCTGTTTCATGATCTGAAACCTTGCTACTCCCCCTGCTTCCTAGGAAACCTCTTTATTCCTGTTTTCTGCTGCATAAATTACAAATAAACAAAAAGTCTAAGTGATTAATCACAGGACTACTTGAGCCTTATTGAAAAGTTGATTGCAAAATCCCTGAATAATTTGAAGGTTGACACTAGACAAGAATATCTCTTATTTTGTTTATCCTAACTGCTGACGGCCTGAGAGCTGCTGAGAAGCAATATTTTCCCTTTTTTTTTTAAAAAAAAAAACAGCAGGAGGGATAGGTCGCCAGATTTATCTGAGGGTTGGAAACTAAATGACCTTAATGGAAGATGCTTTGCCATTAGCCCCAAACCTGCTGATGTTTAGGAGCCAGGTCTCCTGCTTCAGCCTGTTTCTCGTGGTTGGTGGTCCGAAGGCCAAGGCCAAGGGAGGAGCTGAGTCCCAGCGTTCCTGCATTCCTCCAGCCCATGTTCTCCTTTGATATATGGGAGCCCGGGAGAGGTTTCAGGTTGCAGAAAGGACATTGCCTTGCACTGACCATAAATACAAGCTGGAGAAGTCAGAGCTATAGCATGGAACTCGTGTGAGTGGTGGGTGCCAGGACCTTTTCTCCTGTTATAAACTTTCTTACAGCATTTGGCACGGTGGCCCATCAGCAATGACCAAGTGTCTGCACTGCCTGGTGCTTATTGGGCCAAGGTTGTTTTCTGTTGATGGTGCTTAAGCACCCGTGTTTGAAACCTCTCTGTCCTGCTCTGTATCCAGTGTGCTCTGCCAGCAGCCTCCTCCGAGAGCTCAGGGGCTTGGGGATTGTGGAGATTAGTTTGTTCCTCCAACTCGGAGCTAAGCTGCAGTGGGGGACAGTTTGGGGAAACTTGGAGAGCTTCTTGCTCTTTCAGGCTGTAGGGCTGTGACCGTTTAATTCCTGTTAAACAGACATTTCTTCCCAAAAGGAAGAGCCCTGTACTCTTGCTGCACTTGGCACTGGAGGCACAGGGACAAGATCCCTTCATCCCTGTATCTCCTGGGTTGGTCTGTAGAAGTCATTTGTGTTACTTCACCCTCGGAGTGATGAAACTAAGTCGGGGATTTGGCTGGCTGGCCACAGAGGAGGGGGGGGAGTGGAGGGAAGAGACATTTCTCCACGAGCTTGTGGTGCAAGCCAAGAGCTCTGTGGGAAGGTCCGAGCTAATGCTCCCCACTGGCTGCCTTGGCCCCAGCCCGCGCCAAGCCCTTGCAGCAGACTAGACACAAAAGAAAAGCACACAGCGTCTAAATTCATTGGTATGAAGAGGACGTGCCAGAGTATCCCACAGCTCTTCCTTTTCTGCTTCTCTTTGATAACTGTCGATTTGCATAAAAACATGGATTATTAACGTGTGGGTTTTTTACGTTTTTCAGCAGAATCCGGGCTGCGGAGGCACTCGGTTCTGTATTTAATGCCTGGGATGCCCCGTGTCAGACTTGAGAACCTGTTCTGAAGCTTGGTAAGTGCTATTGAAGGATTCCCCGTGCTCTTGATGGGCTGTAGGTGAAACAGCGTAGACCTAGAACTGGCTTCATACCCGTAGGAGGGGAGTAGGTAGGAGAAGGAAGTCCATGCTTAAGTGTGTGTTTGAGTTTCAGTCATCCAGTAGCACTGCCCACCTTTTCGTGACCTCTCTTAGTGGAAATTTTGATGTTGGAGGCTTGCTGGCTTGCAACCCCCCCAAAAATTTATTGCCAGTGTTTGGGTGTAAACACAGGGTGTCTTCTATGCTGGTGAGTTCCTCGGTTCCCCTCTAGAAGCGATGGGGGGATTGATAGGGCAACTTTAATAGGTCAGTCAGAGATGGATCACTGTCTGCCTGACCCCTTCTGTGGCCAAGTCCTGGACCTGAGGGAGCACCAGCCACCCACCAAAACACCAAAAACCTCACCCATACCCATCATCAGTCTCTCATTGATAAAGCCGTGACCTGTTTGTGAACAGAAATGTGAAATTTCACAGGTTATTCTTTAGTCACCTCTACAAGTGGTTTACTTGGGTTTATCAAACACAAAAGCAACACGGCATTGTCAAAGTTACAAAATGGCTTTTTTATTAACCTACCCTATCATAGAGCATGGATTTTTCTTGTCAGCTAATGCAAGGAGCAAGAGAAAACTGTAGTTTTATCCGTGTGGAGGCTACAAATCCACATGGCTTCTCTGTGCTATTGAGCATGTGAGTTCTTAGAAATGCAGCTGCCGGTAGTTTAGCTTGAATACAGTCATTCTAAAACAAGCTAGAAATAAATAAAATACTTACATTTCAAGTACAAAACCTTGCAGCTGAATTCAGTATGAGGGAATCGGTTTATTCCTTTTCGTGTTACCAACTACTGTACAGGTACTTGGGCTGGCAGAGTCTGCAGATGCAGAACAGAAGAGTGTTTTATGTACATGACTTAATTGAATGATGTGTTTAGTCTTCCCTTTAGGCTATCATGTGAAGCTGTTTAATGTCAGGCAGAAAGAAGATTTTTATGGATGCATTTAATAAGACACGAACCCACTACCGCTACTGGCCCCCAATTTTTGCCTTATGTCTTTCTGGTGGAGGTGGAGGGGTGGGGGGAAGTGCACCTTAATTATGTCTCAAAAATAATGACACCTACCAGCTTTGAATTAGGTTATTAGCAGGTAGATGTGACTTTCAAATTATATTTAATCAAGTGCGAGCAACTTTACCGAGGCTCCTATACAGCTCTAGTACGGGCGAGAACGTTGTTGACCTGTCATCGGGATCCTTCTTTGGGGGGTTTGGCGGCTTGATGGTGGCCTTCGGTACGCGGGGCTCTCCCCAGGCTGAACCAGTATGGACTGCTGGCCCGAGTTCCTCTGAGACTGGAAGATGCTTTGCTCCGCCGGGCTTCTCTCCGAACAGGTGAAAGTCAACCCAACGCCGATGTTGCTTTTCATGGTTCGGGAGGTGCCATCAGAGGTGCCATCAAAACATCTACCCAGAGCGATTTCCTTAGCGATCCTGGGGTCTTGGTCGGTGACGGTGTAGATGCCGTAGTTGTGCCCCAGTGGGTCGAGAGGAGCCAGCATGGTGTACTCGCTGGAGTCATTGTTGGTAGCCATGGGGAGGTGGTTCACCAGGTACTCGTGGAGCATGCTGTTGACGCTCTCTCGGCGGCAGCTGCCTTGCGGGACCACTTTGACCAGAGTGCGGTCCACACGGTCTTGGTCGAAGAGCATGCCACTGCACTTGAACTCCAGGCAGGCGGCCGACACGTCCCTCTGCTCAGGGTCACGAATGCTACGGACATCCCTGATGCCATAGAGCTTGCCAATGGTGCGTGGGTGCGTCCCGCCCATGTTACGAGATCTTACGTTCACCTCTTGGGGTCCGTTGATTTTTACTTTAATGTAGCAGGCCCTAAATTCCATGGGCTTGGGCCACCACGCCAGGTAGTCATCAGTCCAGCTCATGAGGTCATCTTCGCTGAAGGGAACGGTGTTGTAGTCGTACCGGTCTCCCTCTATCCTGTAAAACCTGAAGTGAGCAGCGCTGTGTGGAGCTTCCTCGCATTCTTTTAGGTTTTCGTAGGAGTAAATAGGGCCGTTGTTCTCTTCTGGGGAATTGGGGCTTGGCTTGGCCATGTTAATGCTGAACGCCGTTTTCTTAGTGTTGGAGTCCTCGTGGTCTGTTCTTCTGTAGTTGAGCTTGTTGAGATACGGCTGTGGGACCCCAATAGCATTAGGGTTGAGTTTGGGAGCAGAGGACACAGCTTCGAGCTCTTCGCCTCCCATGCTTGCCAAGATATAAGCTGCATAAGCCTTGGGGTTTTGCTCGTCACAGAAGGCGGGCACGCAGGCACCGTTGGGACCTGTGATCACACTGTCGAAACGGCCCCATGCTCTGGGGTTGGAGGAGAACCCCGGCTCTGGCTCTGTGTTTATAACAGAAATCACAACCCCTTGGATCTGCTCACTTTGCAGAAATCTCTCACTCCTGTAGGCTCGGACTTTGATGTAGCACCGTCTGCTCTCTGGGACGTCCAGGTTAAAAAGACGTCTTTCTTTGATCTCCATGTTCCCAACCAAAAAAGTTCTCTCCTCCCTTTTGCGCCGTCTGCTTTTCTCAAGGTTGAAGTCCCCTTCTTCCTCCCATAATCCTGTCTCCGGGTTGAGGGACCAAAGCTTCATCTCTTGCAGGTGCTCTGGCATCTTGACCTGAGCAGCGTCCAAATGAACCTTCACCTCTTCTGCGTTAAGAGACTCGGTGCCCTGTTCGTTAGTGAAGTCCACAGAAAACATGCCGTACGTACGGAGCGGGAATACATCTCCCTCCTCATCTACAAAGTTCAGGTCACTTTGTGTCACAGGAGCCGTTGAGATGTTTCTTGGGTCCAGAAATGTCACGCTGGCTTTCACTTTGCCTCTGTAGGCTTCTCCATTTTTCCTATAAAATGCATCGGGAGGAATTTCTAATTCGGCGATTGGATCATCATCTTCCATTTCTCCCAAAGAAATCACGTTGGTTTCGGTGGATTCCAGCGTAACAGGGGCTTGCTTTCTTAGTAGCTTGATCTCATGAAACACAGCACCTCCGTTTTCCTTGAAGGGCAGAACTTTCGTTGTGTTCACAAACTTCTGCAGCCGATCGACGAAAGTTAGAACCAGTCTCTCTGTGTCTGCTGGGACTTGGATGGAGAAGGTCCCCTTGTAGCCCGTCATGCTCACTCTCTTGTTCCCCATGTAGATGTGGCCAAACCGCAGTGGCTCACCATTATCTGCTGCCGTGGCTCTGCCTCGAACAGTTATTTTGGTCTCAGTGCACTTTTTGCAGCCACATTCTACGACGATTTTAGTGGGGAGCGTGTACCCGTTGCAGGAGATGTCTCTGGTTTCCATCTTGGACACCCCGCAGCAGTAGGAGACATTGTCCTTACACCGGAGTCCTTTATCCAGCTTCCCAGCACAGGTCTTTGAGGGGCACTTGCCCACGTCGTAGTAGAAGGAGTTGGTTTCTTTTTGGAAGCAGTCGTGTGGAAGTCGGATGAGGTGGCTTTGGGGTTGGGGGTTGCAGGCTGCCTCTTGTCTTCCTGTTGAATAGGATTTCTTAATGAGCAGCATGAAATAATTATACAGTCATCGCTATGTGGTCTGAAACCCTCAGAGCTGAGCATTGCTTCCAATAACAGTGAGGTTTTCGCAGCCACAGAACAGATGTTTTGGAGGATTTTTGGTTAGCTGAGTTCATCTGGTCTCCGTTTCCACGAAGCAGGTGCTCAGCTTTAACTTAAGGTACCTGATTAAGAGCATCCCAGCTCCTGCTTACCCACCACTGCCATCCAACCCACCCTCAGCTACATGTTCTGCAGCTGTCTGGCTTTTGGGTTGGTTTTTTTTTTGCTATGGACAGAAAAATACGCATCCCAGCATTTAAAAACAAACCCCAAAACACATAAATATTCACACATCAGGCAGCAAGTGCAGGGAGAAACCTGCTGAAACCAGCAGGTTGAGCTTAGCAGGTCACCTGCAACCCAGAGCTGCAGTTCGTAGGGAGCAGCTGGTTCATCACCAGCTCACGCAAGTTTATGTGCTAATGGACGTGTGAAATAACCCCCTGAATATTTTTCTTTCCCCCACGTACCACATTTTCTGGTTTCTGCACCCTGCCACCTCCACAGCTGCTTGGAGAGCATCCCGCGCGTTTTCTCTTACCTATCACAGCCAGTTTGGCAGATTGGGACTTCGCCGACCCCCCGGCGCTGCTGGCCTTGCAGAAATACTCTCCCGACTGCTCTCTCTTCAAGTTCTTCAGAACCAGGCTGTTTTTATATTTGTATAAGGAGGGGTCCAGCAGCGAGCCGTTGTGGTACCTGCCAGGAAAGGGGAAGGCAGTTAAAGGGATGGAGACCGACCGGAGCGATGGCCTCATCCCGCATCCTGCCATGTGGATTTTTCCAGACCTCTTGCCTCAGTTTCCCCGTTTGTAGTCTGACTACTACGTGGCATCACCTAGAAGTTGCCCTGGCAGTGCTGAGATGCTGGCAGGCAGGCAGGCAGAGCTGCCAGTCGTGCCTGCTGAGGTTTTTCAAACTCTTATTTGTGTGTTTTTCCAGTAAGTCCCTCAGCCGATGACGTTACCACCCCTGCGAGAAGCGCCAGCTCTGAGCATCTCGAGGAAACCATCATCTGCAGCGAGCATTTCTTGGCCAGTTTAGCTGGTTTATAGCTTAAAAAACCCCCCACCTTTATGGGGATGGTGAGGAGACAGAAATTGAACCCGTGGGACAAGGACTTCTGCCCCATCAAACTCGAGTTCCTTACCAGAGATAGCGGTCAGGGGCCGGGCTCCCAAGGGCATCGCAGCAGAGGGACACGCTCTGTCCCACTCTCCTGGCTTTGTCCTCGGGGCTCCTGAAAACGTAGGGTTTGCCTGCGGGAGGAGGAAAAGGCCATCTCGTTATTCTTCCCCTCCTAAAATCAGGGTTTATTTCTGATTAAGTCATAGAATCATAGAATCATAGAATTGCCCAGGCCGGAAGGGACCTCCAAAGGCCATCTAGTCCAACCCCCCCGCAGTCAGCAGGGACACCCCCAACTAGACCAGGTTGCCCAGGGCCTCGTCGAGCCTCTCCTTGAATATCTCCAGGGATGGGGCCTCAACCACCTCCCTGGGCAACCTGTCCCAGTGCTCCACCACCCTCACAGTGAAGAACCCTCTCCTCATCTCCAGTCTAAATCTGTTCCCCTCCAGCTTGAAGCCATTGCCCCTCATCCTGTCACTGCAGGCCTTTCTAAACAGGCTCTCCCCAGCCTTCCTGTAGCCCCCTTCAGGTACTGGAAGGCTGCTATTAGGTCTCCCCGGAGCCTCCTCTTCTCCAGGCTGAACAACCCCAGCTCCCTCAGCCTGTCCTCGTAGCATCACCAGCACCCCAAGTCCCTTTCCTCAGGGCTGCTTTCCAATACCTCACCCCCTAGTTTGTATTGGTGGCGAGGATTGTTCCGGCCCAGGTGCAGAACCTTGCATTTGCTCTTGTTGAACCTCATGAGGTTCACCTGGGCCCACCTCTCCAGCCTGTCATAAAACCTCCTGCTTTACCCCCCCCCCTCTTTGGGGCTACCTGATCGTTGCAGCTGCACTTGGATGGCCAGGTTTCTCCTGTTGCTCGCGGGCACGGTGACGGTAGAGGTTGCGTATTTGGCTTTTTTTATTTTAAGGGTGTTTTTGCCATCGGGGCAAACCCCCGGGATCCTGAACATGCCCCTGTGATCGGCCGTCGTCAACAGCTTGAGTTTCTCCCCTTGCAGGTAGACCCGGGCATCGGCAGCGGGCGACCCGTCCTCCAGAGAGACCTTCCCATGCAGGGTGGCATCCTCACACATGCAGGCATCGCAGTCGGCGTTGACACGACCCATGGGGCAGGTGATGTTGCAGCCTGGAGGGAGAAGGAGGTGGGTCAGAAAGCAGCCCCCAGTCCCCCAAACGCCCCCGGCGCGGCCTTGCATCTGCTTTTGATTTAGAGGCAATAAGGCAGATACTGCATAAGGAATATATTGGATCCAAAACCATTCTTTTTTTTTTTTTTTGATGATTACCAACAGCTGTGCGTTAGAAGCACAGGGACAATGTCATTTTGAACCTGACAATTAGTAGAAAGCAGCCACGTGGATATAATTACGGCTGTTGTTTACCTTCCCCAAAGGGCTGGATTTCAGGGAAACTTGAATCCAGATCAGCATGTGGGCTTTTAGCTCAACCCTGGAAAAATTACAAATCCAAGGGCCTTAAACTTTGTAGGTTTCTGTTACCGACTCATGCCCAAACGTCATGATTTTGGTCTGTCTTAAAAGCTGTCTCCCCTCATTCGATGGTATCCTGGCTTGGGCAGGATATAGGTTAATTGCCAAACGAGCGCTACCCGATGGGCTTAACGAACGGTCTCCCAGATGATGATTCTAAAATCTTTTTCATTACTTACAGTGATTAATCTTAAATAATAATCTGTCTCTTCCCAAGGCAAAGGCACAGGGCATACCTTGTACGATCACATCCCTGTACAGCAGCTACCTGATAATTTTTTTAAATAGCTGGAAATAAATTGAAGAAATCAAGGAAAACTTGAAGCAGCTTCCCTGGAGAAAACATGGACTATTTTCAGAGTGACTCATTCAAAAAGGGGATTACAAGAATAATATAATTAATCACAAGCCTCTTCAGCAGGGGCTGTGGCAATTCAATATTCCCAACTCTTCTCCTTCCTGGGGCTGACTGCATGGAGGCAAACGCCTGCAATTGCTGATTCTACCTCAGCATGTGGGCTTTTAGCTCAACCCTGGAAAAATTACAAATCCAAGGGCCTTAAACTTTGTAGGTTTCTGTTACCGACTCATGCCCAAACGTCATGATTTTGGTCTGTCTTAAAAGCTGTCTCCCCTCATTCGATGGTATCCTGGCTTGGGCAGGATATAGGTTAATTGCCAAACGAGCGCTACCCGATGGGCTTAACGAACGGTCTCCCAGATGATGATTCTAAAATCTTTTTCATTACTTACAGTGATTAATCTTAAATAATAATCTGTCTCTTCCCAAGGCAAAGGCACAGGGCATACCTTGTACGATCACATCCCTGTACAGCAGCTACCTGATAATTTTTTTAAATAGCTGGAAATAAATTGAAGAAATCAAGGAAAACTTGAAGCAGCTTCCCTGGAGAAAACATGGACTATTTTCAGAGTGACTCATTCAAAAAGGGGATTACAAGAATAATATAATTAATCACAAGCCTCTTCAGCAGGGGCTGTGGCAATTCAATATTCCCAACTCTTCTCCTTCCTGGGGCTGATTGCGTGGAGGCAAATGCCTGCAATTGCTGATTCTACTGTGAGAGCTGCTGTTCTAACAAGATTAATGAGATTTTTCCTATATCCCCAGGATCTTTATGGGTTTCTGAGGATTCCCCATATCTGGATCCCCCCCCAGTCTTGCTATTTGGCCATCAACTCCCCATGTAGTCTCCAGCCCTGCTCAGGAAGGCACCGGTATAGCGAAATCCTGGCAAGGGAGATTGAAACAGCAGGGAAGGGAGTACAACGCCTACGTGGTGGTGAGATCAGGACCTTGTCCCCCGTCTGTAAGTGAGGTTAGAGGAGCTCTGTAAGTGAGGTTAGAGGAGCACCTGAGCAAACATGTCCGATGCAGAGCCTCCCTTCCTCGGTGGCTTCGTTACAGTGCACGCCCCAGAGGCGCTCGGCGAGGCAGGCTCTGGTCCGCTTCTGCACGCCGGTTTGGCCACACTTCCCTGAGCATTCACTCCATTTCGACCACGGGGACAAAAACCTTTTTGAATCTTGCATCAGCGGACCTTGAATGACATCAGCGGCGTGTTACCGAGACGCACGTGACACGTAAAAACTGCCTGAAAACGGGCAGTTAGTTTCTTAGCAGTTTCTCTATAGCAGCATCTATATAGCTCAGACTGTGCATTTGGATATCACACACCACGTGGATTAAACAAACTCAAAGCGTGCTCAGGGAGCTGGGAAATAAAGCATAAAAAGGCACCCGAGTGCTTCTGGCTTAATTCCGCGCAGGCTACCCAATTCAAGATGATTAAGATAAACTCGAGGGGAGCAAAGTGCAGGCAGCTCATGCTTAAGCGTTGAATAAATTTGGCTTAAGGGAAATTAAACACACATTGTGATTTAAATGCTGTCTGAGGGGCGGGCAGAGCTCGCCTGCATTTCAAATGTGGTTAAATCAAAAAAAAAAAACCCACAAAACAAACTCAACCAACCAAAAAAAAAAAAAGAGGGTAAAATTGTTGGTATGATCATGTTGAATGTCTTTAACCATACTTCAACATATGTTCTCTATAGGAGAAGCGTGTGTCCTATTGGGAGCACCACTTTTACTGTGTGCAAACAGAAGCCTAAGATGCCTCCGAGCAGGCAGAGCACGTTAGGGGCCAGCTGATTTGTAAAATACAAAGAGGGTTTATTGAGAGTTTAATATGCGGTTAGATTTTTATAGGGATTTCTCGAACCGGCTACTCGATGGTATTAATTTAAGCTGCTTTGAATGGATGAAATCCACTCCAAGTCTGCGGTTTGGGTTTATTTTTCAATGACAATGTTCTAATAATGTTTACGAGGATGCGCTTGTGACTAAAGTTTCTAAAAATGAGGTCTCTTGGAAATGTGTGCCGTGTCGTCTCCCACACCTTCTCTGCCACCCGGTTTGTCATAAACCAGGTTGGGTTATTTCCTAGAAAGGCAGACAGGACTATCTGTGTGGGGATGGTCGAAACCAAAAGCAGGTGGCTGGAAAAGACCATTTAAATGAGAGCAGGAGCATCATGTCTGATGATGCCAGATTAAGCCAAGAGCACTTGGCTTAAATGGGCGAGTTTTTAATCTGTTGGCATGGTGGCATCTCCAGCATCCCAAGTGGTACATTCATAGACCTTCTTTAGCAATTTTGGGGATGCAGGAGGAGGTGGGCTTGAGGACGTGGTCCCTTCCCAGGTAGCACGCAGATAAATGCCCGCCTGTACTTGCCCCAAGCAAAAATTTGATGTGCAACAGATTAATGTGGGGTCTCAGTAAGATCCTAAGTTTGTTTGGGATGGGCTGCTTGATGGTTGGACTAGATGATCTTTAAGGTCCCTTCCAACCTACATGATTCTATGAATCTGCAGGGCTGGTGATGATAAGAAAAGACGGGGGGAGTCCTGGGGAGGAAAATGGCACGACACAGCTCTGAGTAGCACTTCAACAGCAGAAAAAGCAGAAAGCAGAGGATGGGGTGAAGCCAAGGGACTCGAGGACTGGCAGGGATGTGGGGAGAGACAGGGCTACCCTGTGGCACGTACTGCGTCTGGTGTAGGCGAAGGTCGGGTCTCCCCTGCGAGAGTTGCTCCTTGTACCTGTGGGCAGAGGACATTGGAGGTGATTCGGGCAGGGTTTGCCTTTTCCCCAGCTGAGAACCAGTCCCTCCTGCACGGAGCCTGGCTGCTCAACCCCTATGATTCTATGAATCTGCAGGGCTGGTGATGATAAGAAAAGACAGGGGGAGTCCTGGGGAGGAAAATGGCACGACACAGCTCTGAGTAGCACTTCAACAGCAGAAAAAGCAGAAAGCAGAGGATGGGGTGAAGCCAAGGGACTCGAGGACTGGCAGGGATGTGGGGAGAGACAGGGCTACCCTGTGGCACGTACTGCGTCTGGTGTAGGCGAAGGTCGGGTCTCCCCTGCGAGAGTTGCTCCTTGTACCTGTGGGCAGAGGACATTGGAGGTGATTCGGGCAGGGTTTGCCTTTTCCCCAGCTGAGAACCAGTCCCTCCTGCACGGAGCCTGGCTGCTCAACCCCCCCAGCTCTGGCACACCCTCCCCTGGAGGCAAAAAATGAGTTTACAGCTCACTGCTGCCAAGGGCAGATGCTTTAGTTTCCAATTGCATTGCTCAAAAAGTCACAATTTTGCTTTATTTCTCCCTAAAGAAGCCGGAGTCAGCCTCAGCATCACTGCTTTGTGTTATCCACTTTGAGGGGAAAACAATTTTCCTGCTAGTTTTTCTAAAAATACCTCTCAGCAGGTAGAGGGGACCGTTTACAGCTCACTGCTGCCAAGGACAGATGCTTTAGTTTCCAATTACATTGCTCAAAAATTCAAGATTTTGCTTTATTTCTCCCTAAAGAAGCCGGAGTCAGCCTCAGCATCACTGCTTTGTGTTATCCACTTTGAGGGGAAAACAATTTTCCTGCTAGTTTTTCTAAAAATACCTCTCAGCAGGTAGAGGGGACCTTTCTCTGAGTGTCCATGTTTTTGGTGCTTTGATTCTCCCCGGCGGCTGAGAGAGCTGCCGGGAGCGGGACGGAAAGCTGGGAAAGTCCCCTAATCCCTCAGCTATGGCATCAACACGTCCAGCCCTTTCAGTGCCCGCTGGAATTTAAATCCCGAGCTCTGGGCAGTAAAGCTTGAGAGGTCGGGATATCTCTTGGGGATTAACGAGTGGAGCAGGCTCTGCGGGTAATTAATGCCCCAAACTGGCCTGGGTGTGGGGACCCTGGGCTGGGCAGGGGAAAGGCAGGTCAGAGCTTGTGCTTGCCCATCCCTGGGCTCTCCTTTGCCGCTCCCGTGGGAGTCAGGGCTGTGGTCACGCACTTGACCTTCACTTTTCCAGGCCAGGAGCCAAGAGCCAAAGCCCTGCAGGAGGTCGCGGATGATTAACATTTATTCCATTGCCCAAACGTCCTCATCTACTCAAATAATATTGTTCGGTTGTAAATTAAGGCTGAGAAAATAAAAAATAATATGCAAACACATGCAAACAGCCTTTGTCCCGGCGAGGGAAAGCCGCCCAAGCTGGGAAATAACTTACTCTCCAAGCTGAGCATTACCAGCGGGCTGAAGGTTTTCTGTCCTATCTGGATCCTGCTGAGAGCTGGTTGCAGAAGCCTTTGACCTAAAGGTCAATAAATTAGAGATTAATAAATTAGAT